GAGAGGAAAGAAAAGAGGGAGAAAGCGAGGACAAAAAGGAAGAAAAGGGAGAGTAAGAACTTAAAATGTTTTTAGAGAAAGCATAAACTTCCCAGTTTGGCCATAAGCCTCACCATTCCCTAGTGTCTTCTACTGATTCAATCATACATTTTGTCATCTGCTTGGCTCCTAAAGTCAGTCATTCTCACATCCAGTCCAAACTTTTTATTTTCACAGATGAGGAAACAGGAATCTAAGATCAGTTTATTAACTTGCATAAGGTCACACAGATGGTATCAGCAAAGCAAAAGTGAGTTCAGTTACCTGACTCCTAGTTCCATATTTTCTCCCCTGACTCCAACATACTTTGGCCCACAAATTCACCTAAAGGCTGGAACTCCAAAATGTTAAAAGAAAGGGGAAAATCAACATACAAAATTTATATAAAAATGAAATGATGTATTCATATCACACTACAAGTTTGTTTCATTTTTGCTTACCCAGCCAAAGGTGGCTAGAAACTAGGTGAATAGGTGGGTCATGTACATAGGTGTTGATAACTGTATCCGTATCCAACACAACAATAGATGAGACATGATTCTGTTATCAAGGCAGGACAGTGCATTTCTAGCAATTTATCTCCTTTCTAGTGTCATATCCCTACGCTCAAGTGCGCAGAACTTAAAATAGAGCTTGGAGAGCCTGTTAGACTTTTCTCCTTCCTTCTTGGCTATAAACTAGCTTATTATATATGCTTTATGGTCTTATACCATGAGGTGTTGAGTTCAGCTAAAGGAGGGGCATTTGCTATCCTCCTCAGTTACAAATATAGTTCTCAGCCATTCTGTGGGTCTTGAATTACAGCTATCTACAGAGTAAATAAACAAATACCTAACTATACTGCCAGGAGATCTCCCAAATCACTTCCAGTTCTAGATTAAATTCCGTGACTCCCTGGGATATGCCCACTTTTTACCAGATTGGAAACTTTCTAATCATATACTATGTAGGAATAATATAACATATCTGTGGGGCAACAAAGCCTTGCAGAATTCTTGTTTTGAAGGAGAATCATTAAACTTCTTCGATTTCTTACAAAGGGGTCATAGGAAACCCAAAGCAAGAGATAACTTTATTTTATTTATTGTATTCTTATACTTCATTTGTTTTTGAGTTGGAGTCTTACTCTCTCACCCAGGTTAGAGTGCAGTGCCATGATCGCAGCTCACTGTAACCTTGACCTCCAGGGCTCAGGTGACCCTTCTGCCTCAGCCTCCTGAGTAGCTGGGTCCACAGGCATGTGCCACCACACTCGGCTAATTTTTAACCGAGAGAGGAGGTCTTGCTATGTTGCCTAGACTGGTCTTGAACTCCTAGGCGCAAGTGATCCTCCCGACTCGGCCTCCCAAAGTGCTAAGATTATAGGCATGAGTCACTGCACCTGGCCAGTGATGACTTTAAAAGGGTCAAACACTAAATGCCTTTGAGAATAAGGGGACTGGTGAAAGGAGAATGTAGAGCAAAATGGGCTTCTTTATTTCCACGGCTGCTCCATTATCATCAGGGTCAAGGCAAGGCAAGATTTCTATCCAAGCATTAAAAGTAAAAAGGCCAGTATGGTGGCTTATACTTATAATCCCAGCACTTTGGGAGACAGGTGGAAGAATTGCTTGAGTCCAGGTACTCAAGATCAGCCTGGGAAACATAGCAGGACCCAGTCTCTATAAAATAAATAAATAAATAAGTAGCCTGGCGCGGTGGCTCAAGTCTGTAATCCCAGCACTTTGGATGGCTGAGATGGGGGGATTCCCTGAGACCACGGTTCAAGAACAGCCTGGGTAACTTGAGGAAACCTCACCTTTACAATAAAAATCAAAAATTAGACAGGCGTGGTAGCTCGTGCCTGTAGTTCTGGTTACTTGGAAAGCTGAGGCAGAAGGATCGCCTGAGCCCAGCAAGTTGACGCTGAGGTGGCGGTGAGCATGCCACTGCACTCTAGCCTGGGCGATGGAGTGAGACTGCAACTCAAAATAAATAAATAGACAGATAGATAAATAGAAAGTAAATTTTGGCTCAGTTTCCACATTAGAGTTTTCATTTGTTTGTTTTGTTTCTTGCTCTGTGGTCCGTTCACTGCAGCCTTGAATTCTGGAGCTCAAGTGATCCTCCTGCCTCCTGTCTCAACCTCCTTCTGAGCAGCTGGGACTACAGGCATGAACCACCATGCCTTGCTCAAATCTTTTTTTTTGAGTTGGAGTCTCACTCTGTCACCCAGGCTAGAGTGCAGTGGCACACTCATGGCCACCGCGTCAACCTGTTGGGCTTCAGCAATCCTTCCACTTCAGCCTTCCAAATAGCCAGAACTACAGGTGCGCACTGCCACGCCCGGCTCATTTTTGATTTATTCGTAGAGACGAGGTCTCGCCAAGTAGCCCAGGCTGGTCTCAAACCCGTGGGCTCAGGCAATCCACATGCCTCGACCTCCCAAAGTGCTGGGATTACAGGCTGAACCACCAATCCCTGCCATGAAAGCATTTTTAAGTGACTATTTCCTGGCTGAATATAAATAAAGGAATATTAGTAATGATTATACGTTCAGTTGATTAGTAATGATTATATGTACAGTTGTTTAAAAACCAGGAATAACTGGTGAGGAACGACTGAGACTGTTTATAAGGCTTCCATTAAGCAAGAACTAGGCAAAACATTTTGGGAAAATACTGGTGGATAGCCAAAACAAAACAAAACAACATAACCAAAAAAAATAAGGAACTTTAAATTGCATTTTATCTGACTTATAGTAACACAATTTTTAAATCAATAGGCACACTCAAAAAAATGAAGCTCTACATATTAAATAACTCCACCATATTTTGCTTATTCAGAAAAAAAAATGTTTTATTTTAAAAGAATTGCCCTACTTAAAAGTGGCAATTCACATCTGTAAAGTGAAGAACTGATTGTACTTAGGTTGAGGGTTAATTATGTTGTTTCCTTCTACAAGTTGTTATATAAACTAACATACAAAAATAAAAATTTACTAGGTAAATAATATGTCCTGAAAAACCATAAACAATTTCAGGTTCAATTTCTTGATTCATTGTTGAGATTATGACTTAAATTTTTAAAAAGTTATTTAACTTTTTCTATCCCTTTTGTTTGCTCTTCATGAAATGTATTCACCATTTTATATTGTTATCACACTAAATTTAAATTTTATTTTAAATTTATTTTAAAAGTTATTATCCTTGAATGAAAACTCTTCATTCTGTGATAATTGAAAACAGTACCACTGGTATTAAACATATTACTACAACACTAGTTTGAAAATAATCCCTTCACTGAATCAAAATACCCAATATTAAATAGCCTTCAGCAATTACACAAAGGCTTAAAATAAGGTCAAAGGAAGATAAGCGTTAGGAAAAACTTAAAATAAAAACCAAAAATTTTTTCCAATCTCAAAAATTAAACAAAATCACTCATACCATTGTGTACAGTATTTTTCTTGCTTCCAAATGAAAAATTAAAAGGGTTATTTCTGTATTTAACAGCTCTTGACACATCAGAAGGCTGATGAAGGTGTTCATTACAAACAATTCTTTTATTCCTACAATTTGAATACTGAGAATGTTCCCAGTTTGTAGCACTACCGATAGATAGATGTTGACCATAAATAATAATCCTTACAAAGTCTACAGTCATGAGAAAAACTTTCTAATCTTGAAAAACCTTCACTTTGCTGCAAGTAACAAGTATAAACAGAAGCTAACATTTAATGAGTGCTTATCTGCTAAGCACTGATCTTTACCCTTATTTTCTATCATAGTAATCTATAATTATTTTGCACATTGTCTTTCTCTTCTTCTAATCCAGAGGCTCCATGGGGACAGGAACTTTGTTTAATTCCCTATTGCATTCCAGCACCTAGTATGCTTAACACATACTAGGCCCTAAATTAATATTTGTTGCATATATTAATATTCAAAATGTTTAAAATGGTCATGACGTAGAGGGTTAGGAAAATGTAACCAAAAACAGAATGTATTACATTTAGTAGAATTAAAATTATTCAGTGAAACCTTTTAGTTTCTATGCATATAATGCATATATTTTATATGCCCCCATATAAAATATATTTCTTACTATAGTTAACCATTTTTAAAAGTCTTAAAATCACTGCTTTATGGGGATTATTTCATTTGTTCCTCAAAATAATCTTGTAGACAAATCATAACTTCCATTACACCATAATAGAACTGAGATTTCTAGAGGTGATATATGTTGTCCAAGGTCTATAAGTACAGATACCACTTCTACAGACGGCATATTGTACTAAGAAAATCTGAATCAATGAACTATTTCAAAAATCGTAATTATGACTTGCTTAATAAAGAAAACCATAAGCTTTGAGGCAGACAAGCCAGATGATACCTGGCTCTGCCACTAACCAGTTGTGTGGGCTTTGGCCAGTAATTTAACCTCTCTCAGTTCCGATTTCCCCATATATAAAACAGATATATTCATAAGATTTTTGTAAGTTTTAAATAAGTTACTATATGTAAATAGCCTAGATCAATAAGTAGAAGCTGTTGTGATTAAAATAATTACTCGTGTTTTGTTTTTTCCTAGTCCTGTAAATCACATTCGATATACTATGCTATAATTGGAATGTGTATAAAGTGTGAATCAGAAATTTATTGGATTAAACAGCAAAGCATGGGAACAGGGTAAAGTGACCTAGAGCCATTCAAGAGTTTCTGCCGGGGCTGGCAGAGAGAGATGCACAAGTTAAAATCAAGGAGTTGGTTCAGGTAACTATGGGAATCTAAGGAAATAACGCTGCTTAACCATGAGAACAAAGTCAAACTATTTCATCCTCCTCAAAAAATCACAGCACCATCCATCTTCTGCACCCTGGCTGGGGTCGAACCAAGGTGTTAGGAAACACACCTGGTCTGCTTCAGACCACGAGGCCCTGGGTACCTAGGGGCTAGGCACAGAGGTTCGGAGCAACTCACCCCGGAGACTCCGTTGATATTGCCCCAGAATCTCCTCCAGGGTAGAGTTCCCCGGGGACTTCGCCATGCACAGACTCTAGGCCCAGAGATGGGAGTTACGTGGGGGAAATGCCCAGCGTTCTCCCCTCCGAGAACAGGCCTACGACCCGGGCAGCGCCCGCCTGCTTCCTGCAGCTGCTGTCACAGCGGATCCAGGAACCCGGGACTGAGCTCCTGGGGGCTCTTCCCACCCACTGGACCTCCTGATGCGGCGTCGGGAGTTGTAGTCCACAGGCTCATGGTCCGCCACCTCGAAAACCCTGAGAGCCTTCCAGCTGGACTACAACTCCCAGAGGCCACCGCGCTCAGGCGCTGGCTTCGGCATTTCGGCTGCCAAAGCTTGGAGCCAAGAGACAGGTTTGGAGACGCCACCCTTTTCCTTCAGCCCAGCCTGGCTTATTCCCGCCTTCATCTCATCCTTCTGCTGGACCACCCAACAGACAGAAAGGGTCCACCGTAGGCCTGACGCGTCGAGATTTGCTAACATGCAGTTGATCCCTGAGGCTACTCAAGGACGCAAGTCACAAGATCTGAACCCTGTTTCGGTTGCGACATGTGTCAAAACGGTCAACTAAATCCTCAAGAACAAGAAGCGCGCAATCTTCCAAACGGCGTAGGTGGTAAAGACGGCCGGCACTACACTCCTACCATGCCCGGCAGCCCGACCTCCAGTTGGACTTGGCGCACTGCCCACTGGGAAGTGTAGTCCTTGTTGGCTGCGGTCCCAGCTAATGCAACGGTCCCAGCTCATTGTCCAAGCCCATCTTCGGGGCACGCCTGCGCAGTGGGCCGTGGACGAGCGTGCGGGCGAGACCCTCGCACAGCCCCTTTTCATTGTCTGTGCTTGGCGCTTGCGCAGTAAGAGATCGTTGGGCCTGGGCCGGAGGCGGAGATAGGACCGAGCTCCTCGCCCTTTCCCGAGGCGCCTGCGCACTGGGCGGCCGCTCTCTGCCGTTACCGCTATGTGTGGGGCGTGTGTGGAATAACGTTATTGCCCAGCGGAGCCGAGGCGCCCGGAGCTCGACCGCGGCGGCCGCGACGACAACAGCGGCGGCGGCG